CTTTGTACTCCCTCAGGGGCTCTCTGCTCTGCTCCCACGGTTGCTCTGCCGCACGCTTTTTGTGCTTTGCCTCGCTGTCTCAGGGTCAGTCTGGGCCAGTCCAGACACTGAGTCTCCAGTGTTGTCCCCCTTAGAGCCCGGGGCCATCAAGGGACAGCATGTCTCGTGGTGGGATCAGCCATATTGTCCACTCTGTCCGTTAGCTGTTCAGAGCGGGGATGTCGTCCTCCACCTGGTGGGTCAGGATGTGCTCCACTCTCTCTTCTTCCCCCTAAGTGCTCCCATTTGCTCTGATCAGACATGCTCCTCTTCCCTAGCTGCAGCTTCAGTGCTGTCCTCTCAAATAAATTCTTCTGGGGGGAGGGGCAGTTGTCCACATAGCTGGTATGGGGGCCGAGCCCTCAGGCACCCTCCACTGGCTCCCCATACTTCATTTTTTCTTAACCCTGTCCATTTGCATAGCAGAGAACACTCTCCTAAATGGGATGATAGGCATAAACGAGAATTTATAATATGTCATATAAAGGATTAAGGCTAGAAGGGCCATATCAATTGACCACATCTCAAGTATCTACCACACAGAATAGTTTCACTGCCCTAAAAATTCCCTGTTCTCCACTTGTTCATCCCTCTCTTTTGCTCCCAGAACCTCTGGCAACCTCTAATCTTCTTACTGTCTCTAATAGTGTTGTCTTTTCTCCAGAGTCACATATTTGGGATTATACAGTATGTAGCCTTTCCAACAGCATGTTGACACAATGGCTGCAATAGTGGGCTCAGACACCACAAGGGTTGTGGGATGGTGTAGCACTGGGCAGTGTTTTGTTCTGTTGTGCATAAAGTTGCTATGAGCTGGAACTGACTCAATACCACCTATCAACAACAAGCTTTATCAGACTGTTGTTTGTTTTCACCAGAAATGTACTACAAAGCTCCAAAAAGTCCATGGAAAAATGGAGTTAAAAGATAATACAATTTTTCCACAAACATTTTTAAGTGCCTCATAGTTAGGTTACTTCGTGCCTTTTCATGTTTTTACAACTGTACGAGTGGTGTGGAGGCATCCCAAGGGGAAGGAGAACTGAAATCAACATCATCCCAAGGCTGAGTCTTATGAGGACGCGGTCAGACATGCCTCCACCCTCCAACCCTTTCACCAATTCTGACTCCAACTATCTGTCCCAAGTCACTCTCTTCTCTACTGGGTTCGACAATTTGTCACAATGGCCACACAGAACTCAGACAGTACATGACTTATTAAGAAAGTTAACAGGCTACAATTCAGTATCAGAAATGCTCAGGA